AACCCTGTGTCCGGTCACTTAGCCCTGCCTTGCCTTATCAGCAAAGGGAGGATAATTGGATATCGTCTGGAACAAATCACAGCGCCACAAACCCAGTGTCTGGGAGAGCCAAGAGGGAGCCCTAGCATCTCACAGAGCCTCGGTTCCCAGCTTTAGTAAGCCCTGTCCTGTGGATAAGTCCACTCAAGCAAGCTTCTGCATGTCCTAACTAGCCTCCACCGTCAGCTGGTGATCAGACCCCCTGCCTTACCCACGGCAGGGTCCTCCACTGTTTTCTCCATCCTGTCATTGACCGGGACCCCCAAACAGTGAATGTTCAGAACAGAGTCCTGTTCCCTGTGTCTGTGTCTGTCCCCGTGACTGGCCCCGGGCTCTGGGCTGCTCCTCTTACTTCTATCCCCTTCCCAAACCATCCCCAGCTTTAGGCTTCCCCTTGGCACTGCTTCTAGAAAGTATCCCTTCCAGTTACCTAATATCCCACAGCTGGGGGGCAGACTGGGGTGGCCGTTGAGGATTCCAAAGCCGGATTTGGGACCAGACAGAACTGTGTTTGAATCCCAGGTCTGTATTTTGGGGCAAAATACTCCATTTTCTGAGCCTCAGTTCCTCCGTTTGTAAATTGCCCCCACATGGCTGCCAGGAAAATGCAAAGAACATCAGGCACTTGAAGTGTTTGGCACAGTTTGTGGCACATACCTGGTAGGAGTCAGCAGGTGGCTGGCTGTGGCTCCTTCACCCCAGACCCCCAGGCAGGACTGCTCTCACAGCTCCGGCACCGCGTCCCAGACCCCAGACTGCAGTGCCTCCTCCTGCCAGCTGGGGGTGGGAGGTGGGGGGTGGGGGTGGGGAGGGAGAGAACAACCTCGAAAAGATTCAGCTGCAGAAAATCCTCCTTTGTGAGAACAGTGAGTCTCTCCCCCGTAGGTCCCTCGTGCTGACTGGATTGAAGGGAAATGGGCATTTATTTTTCATGATCGAGAAGAAGAAAAAAAAAAAAAAAAACCCTTTAGCACTTAGAGAAAGGAACTCGAGCCTAATATCCGACTCTGTGGATGGTCTTATTCGCTTGTAATGGTGAATGGCCAGTGGGAGAGCTCGTCTCTGTCACGGGAGGACCTTAATGAGAGCTTTAATTTGCTCATTTTCTGGCTTACAGCAGAGCCAAATGAGAAGCTATCTTTCATGCCACTGGTTCACGAACGGAGAAGCCTGAGACTGTTTTCCGACGGTGCCGCTGGACGGTGCAGGTCTGCCCGGCCCTCCAGGCTCTCCCTGCCACCAGGCGTAGGCACTAATGAGGCGGAAGCCTGAGCTTGGGGTGGAAGCTGAGGCCTGGCGTGCCGCGCCGCACCGCGCATGTGCAGGAATCACGCCTGCCCTCTGGTGCTTCCCCACTGAGCGCTAACCACAGATGACAGGTGTGAGTCCTCTAACCACACAAGGGCAGGTGTGCGTCCTCTTGCCCAGAGAAGCAGCACAGGTGTCCTCCTGGCCTTGCCGTGGGGTGGTCCTTGGCAGACCTGGAACACTAGGAACAAAACTGAACCCAGAGACACAGCAGAAGTCTCAAACAGCATACACAGCGTGAAGGAGAGCACAGCCCCAGGCCCTCGGGCACACCAAGCGGCACACAGAGCAACACCCGGGAAGGTGGGACGCGTTCGCGGACATAGATCTGGACCCACTTCCTTCCTGTCCACCCTGCTTCCCGCCCTCCACCCGTGTCTGTCATCTCCCCTTCTCTCCATCCCACTATTGTTCCCCATCCTATATCTCCTAATTTATTTTCCAAACGCTGAGTGGCCTCCCCCCGTCTCACAGCAAACTGCACCTAGCACATCTTTTTTTTTTTTTTTACATTTATTCATTTTTGAGAGACAGAGTGTGAGTGGGGGAGGAGCAGAGGGAGAGGGAGACACAGAAACTGAAGCAGGCTCCAGGCTCTGAGCCATCAGCACAGAGCTGACATGGGGCTCGAACTCACAGACCACGAGATCACGACCTAAGGGACCGCCATACAGCAGCAGTGCCCCGTGAACAGCCTGGCTGAGGTTCCAAACAAGTGCCTGAGAAGGGCTGATGTCACCACCAGAAGAGTGCAGAACAATCCCAGCTCTTGTCCGGGAATGGCAAACACCTCAAGGGTACACCTCAGCACCCCTCCCCCCCCCCACCAAAACTTCACCTGTGACGGGCATGTCATTCTTTCCTGCTGCGCCAAGGGCAATGGAGTTCAGCCCACGTCCCAGATCAGAGACGGGTAAGAGCATCAGTTTGCCCTGGAGTGTCCCAGTTTCAAAACCAAAAGTCCCAAATCCCAGGAATCCCCTCACTCCCAGGTACACCAGGACAGCTGGTCACCTGACTAGACAACACCAAGTCCAAGGGGAGGTCCGTGCAGAAACTCCCACCACGGAACCAGCAGATGGCAAAGGTGTTAGGAAGCTGGAGGCAGGGCCGGAAGCCCCTCAGACTGCTCTCAAAACTGAACAGTCACTTCTTACATAAAGAGCCCGCACGAGGCAGGATAGACTAGCTGGGGTTAAAAATAGCCCCCAGATCTCAGTGTCCTAAGGTATTGTTTATTTGTTGCTTATATGACAAGTTAACGTGGGCTGGCAGAGAGGCTCTGCTCCACATTCAGCCATGTGGGCCCTTCAGTGGATAGCTTTGTGACCCCTTAGGCCAGAATCCCCCCCCAACCACCGGGTCCTCTGAGCTCAATCACAGACACAGGAGGAGAGAGGCAAAGAGTGCCTGGAAATGGGCTTCATGACCAGCTGGAACAAAATCTCATAGCTGGATCAGACTTCAGGGAGGCAAGAAAATACAGCCGTGTGCCTTAGCAGCACAGGAAATAAGTTGTTTGTTGAATACCTAGCTCACGTTTGCCTGCAGAACTCACAAGTCAGAGGGTTCAAATGCCCTCTTATCCGACACTCCCTTTTTACACCTACAACATGAGAATCCTGTTGTGGCAGAAGAATAAAGGACCAGAAGCCAGCGATTCCACTCGTGGGTATAAACCCAAGAGAGATGAAGGCACGTGCTCTCCCTAAAACGTGCACGTGAACGTTCACAGCAGCATTACTCACAATAGCCCTGAGCATCCATCAGTAGAGAACGGATAAACAGAATGTGATGTAGCCACATCACAGACTATCATTCAGCCTGAAGAAGGAAGGAAACTCTAACACATGCTACAGTGTGGATGAGTCTCGAAAACATCATGCTAGGTGAAAGGGACCAGGCACAAAAGGGCAACCACGACACGGTTCTACTTAGATCACATGTCCAGAATAGGGAAACCCACGGAGACGTGGCTGGGGAATGGAGAGTGGCTGGGTTTCCGTTTGTGAAATTAGGTAGTGGTGGTGGTCGTACCACCTTTGAATGACTAAAAACCATTGAACTTTATACACTTTCAAAGGGTGAATTTGGGGGCATCTGGGTGGCTCAGTCGGTTAAGCGTCCGACTTCGGCTCAGGTCATGATCTTGCGGTTTGTGGGTTCGAGCCCCACGTGGGGCTCTGTGCTGCTGGCTCAGAGCCTGGAGCCTGCTTTGGATTCTGTGTCTCCCTCTCTCTCTGTCCCTCCCCCTCTGGTACTCTGTCTCTCTCTCTCTCTCTCTGTCTCTCAAAAATAAAAAAACATTAAAAGAAATTAAAAAGAGAAGGGTTAAGGAAAGAAGGAAGGAAGGGCTGACACTCTGACTCTCTGTACCCCACCCACACCCTCCCACACCTGCGCAGACCTCCCTGCCACCCCCATCGGCCCCTCCATAGGTCCCTCTCACCCCTGGGTTGAAACAGCTGGTTGGTGGATAGCAAGGGGACACAGGCAGTCGTCGCGGTGACGTGTAGACAGGTCCATGCCTGGCTTCTGCTTCTCGTCTCCAGTACAGCAGGTGGGCAGGGGTGCCAGGCACTGGCAGGGGCTACAGTGCGGAAGAGCACCAGATGCATTGACTGAGCTGGCATTATTGACCTTCATCTCTGCAGGGCACTCCCAGGGCACTGGGGCTTCTAACTGAACCACAGAGCTTCTGGAAACAGTAACCTAAAGGCTTTCTCTGCCATCTGGTCTTTTAATGACCCTTCGACTCAAAGTGCCAAGACTTCCAGAGAAGGATTTCAGGTTAAAAAAAAAAAAAAAAAGGAGTTTTTCTTGCTGGGACAGCTATAGAAAGTTCTGAAGACACAGAGAATCTGAGATTTCTATATATTTTTTAATGGTTATTTATTTTGAGAGAGAGCATGCAAGCAGGGAAGGAGCAAAGAGATGGGGGGAGAGAGAGAGAGAGAGAGAGAGAGAGAGAGAGAGAGAGAGAATCTCAAGCAGACTCCACACTGTCAGCAGAGAGCCCATCATGGGGCTCGAACCCACGAACTGTGTAATCATAACCTGAGCTGAAATCAAGGGTTGGGCACTTAACCGACTGAGCCACCCAGGCATCCCAGTGAGACATATATTTCAGGAGAATTGCCCCTGAAGTAGAACAGCCCCTTAATTTTGGAGAGCGTGTTGTACAGTTGGCTGAGTTCGGTCACTTTGCCATCGCAATGTTCCTCACAGCAACTGTGTGAGATGGGTATCATTGATCCCATTTTACAGATGGTGTGAGTGAGGCACAAAGGGAAGACCTTTGTCCAGGGTCACCTGCTCACAAAGAGTAGAATGTAGTCTCAGACAACACTGGAGTCAAGGCATTCTAAACGTGACTGGAGTTCAAACCTTTTATGGTACAAGGAAGAGAAATGAAGCCCGGGGGGGGCTAAGTGTCTGCTGTGAGGTCACACAGCTCAGACTCAGAACTTGCGTCTTCTGCCTCCCAGGACACTGTTCCAAATGCTGCCACCCACAGCATTTTAAGGGAAAATCTGTGTCACAAGCACACAAATGAGAGAGCTCTATAGTCACCCCTGGTGAGACACCTCCCCTTCCTCAGAGTGGGAATCAGCCACCCTCTCCTCTGTCTGCCCAGAGCACCCAGCACTTGCCTGATGGGACTCCAGTTGTCTTTTTATATGTGAGTCACCAAACCAGGAGCCACCTGTGGGCAGAGGCCATATCTTTATTTTTCTGTCTCAGAATCAAAAACAATGCAGAATCAAAATCATTCATTCATTCATTCATTCATTCACCAACATTTACTGAGCACTTACTGTGTGCCAGGTTTTATTCTGGAGTGCCAACCCAGTGGTGAGCAATCCAACTCAGGCGTTGGCCTTCATGGAGCCTATGGCCTGTGGGAAGGGACAGACGATAAACTAGAAGTGAAAGAATAAGGAAACAGATCCTTTCAGGTGGTGATCACTGCCTCACAGACGAAAAGAACAAGAAAAGTGGGATAGGGATGGAAACGTAGCACCTGAACAGAAGCCTGAAGGATTGGAAGGAGCCAGCCATGCCAGAGCATTAAGGGCAGAGGAAACCTTAAGTGCACAGTTTGGTGTCTGGAAAACACAGAAAGAAGGCCTGGTAGGGGGAGCACAGTGAGCAGGGGAGACTGGTTCCAAATGATGTCAGAAGGGAGGCAGGGGCCAGATGCTGCAGGATATAAAAGCCATGCCAGGAGGTCTGCAATTTACTCTGGGCGTGGTGGGAAGCGACAGGTAGAGTTTAGGCAAAGGAATGTCCTGATTCTGTTGGCACTGTGAGCACAGCCCCTGACAGCTGTGGGGAGAGAACAGCCTGTGGAAAGTCAGTCCACCATCCAGGATGGCCATAGTCACAGAAAGAAGGCTCTGCATAAGGTTTGGTACCTTAGCCAGGTGCTCCAGCTCAGCACCACCAAGATGGTGACTGCGTGACATCACGGGTCACCTGAGCTGACTCAACAGGAAGGACACCAGACGACTCAGGTAGAATTCTTGCCAAGATACTGAACTTCAGTCAAATCACACAGAACCAATGATGATAAATCCAGAGGGCTGGGCATTCTACAAGACCAGGGAACTGGGCTGTTAAGAAATGTGAAGTCTTAAAAGAAAACCCTCCCCCAAAAAGAGGGCGGGGGGATAAAAAGACACAACCGCTAAATGCAGTATGTGATTCCCAAATGGGCCATGGAGGAGGGATAGGAAATCCCTATGAAGTACATTACTGGGACTATGGTGGCAATTTAGATATGGATTGAGTGCACATAATATTAATGCATCAACGTTAAGCTTCTAGAGTGTGATAATGATGTTGTGCTTATGTGGAAAAAGGTCTTCATTGTCGCTGATGTTGAATGACTGAGGGCTGAAGCATCAGGATGTCTGCAGCTTACTGTCAAGCATTTCTTCCCCAAAAGGGGAGAAAGACAGAGATACAATAAATGTGGCTAAATGATAACAACCGATGGGTCCGAGAGAAAGGCAAGCAGGTGTATTCATCTTCCAGCTTGCCTACAGGTTGGATTTTTCAGGATAAAAAGTTGGGACAATGGGAAATATGCAAACAATTTGATTAATCCATTGATTAAACAAACAGGATTCAGGGAGCCCCTTTCCCTGAGAGCTTTACGAGCAGTTGGCTCACACTGATTCAGACGGGTGCAGCTCTGGAAGGACGGGAGGCAGGATTTGGATGAATGATCCTTCGTGGTCTCCCTCCAGATTGCAGATTTTTTTTTTTAATTTGGAAATTCCAGAAGCAGCACGGACCATATATGCCATGCTCTAGTGGCTACTGCCATCTTGTGGATCTCTTCTCTGAGTCTCAGTGAGGGTGGAAGCCAGACATTCAGGGTCACCGGATGCTAATGAGCTACCCTCCACCGCCTGATGGCTAACACACTGGAGGTTAAAGGTTTAAGCGTTTGTGTTAGCCTCCTCCATAGTGAGTAATGGAGAAACACAACTTCCATCCTCCCGCCGGGCTCCCTGGACACACAGCGTCTTTTGCCCTTAAAATTACCAGGCCTGGGGCGCCTGGTGGCTCAGTCGGTTGAGCATCCGACTTCAGCTCGGGTGATGATCTCATAGTCTGTGGGTTCGAGCCCCGCATCGGGCTCTGTGCTGATAGCTCAGAGCCTGGAGCCTGTTTCAGATTCTGTGTCTCCCTCTTTCTCTGACCCTCCCCTCTTCATGCTCTCTCTCTCTGTCTCAAAAATAAATAAATGTTAAAAAAAAATTTTTTAAATAAAAAATAAAAATAAAATTACCATTTTATTTTTAAAATAAATAAAATTTTATTTTTAAATTTTTTATATTTTTATATTTTTAAAATTTTATTTTAAAATAAAAATAAATATTAAATTTCCATTGATTCATTCTACAAAACTGGAGTGAGGGAGCCATTTAGGGGCATTTTACTGCCATTTGCACACAATATTGACTTGTTGGCATTGTATTCTTAGTCACAAGGCTACTAAAAACAAGACCAGGGGTTTTTGATAGTGCCTTTTCAAAACTCTAATTCACAGACAAAACTTAAAAGCAGGTCTGGGAAGGCAATAAGGAAGGAGAAGGGGGTAGACTGCCTTGCCAGAACAAAGAGAATGCTAAAAGCAGCTGGGAATAAAAGTGGATTTGGGGGGTCGGTGGGGTACTAGATTCTGGATTTTCCTTGCATGCAGGATAGATGTAGTGCAAGCCCTGAGAATTTCAAGGGTGGGCTTATGTGGGTGAGCATTTTGGCTTTGCAGGGCTGTTTCCCTCTTGGGGCAGCTTGGATACACCACCTTCCTGAACATTCCTCATCAGCATGGTAATGATAACACATAGGGTTGTTTTAAGGATTAAGGATGTTTTCAGGCAGTGCTTCTCAGACTTGACCAAGCACCCGAAGACCTGTGAGTTAAAACACAGATTGCTGGGCCCCAACCCCATAGTTTCTGATTCACTGGGTCTCAGGTGGCCTGAGAATGTGCATTTCTTTCTTTCTTTCTTTCTTTCTTTCTTTCTTTCTTTCTTTTTTTACTCTATCTAAATTCTAGTTAGTTAACATACAGTGCAATATTGGTTTCAGGAGTAGAATTCAGTGATTCACTTACATGCAACACCCAGTGCTCATCACAAGTGCCTCCCTTAATCTCCATCACCCATCTAGCCCCCCCTCCTACCCCCATCCCTCCATCAACCCTCAGCTTACTCTTCATTATTGGGAGTCTCTTGTGGTTTGTTTCTCTTATCTTCCCACCTCCCCTTCCCATACGTTCACCTGTTTTGTTTCTTAAATTCCATGTCAGAGTAAAATCATATCGTATTTGTCTTTCTCTGACTGACTTACTTCGCTTAGCATAATACATTCTAGTTCCATCCATGTCATTGCAACTGCCGAGATTTCATTCTTTTTGATTGCCGAGTAAGATTTCACCATACATATACACTACATCTTCTTCTTTTTAATGTTTATTTATTTTCAAGAGAGAGGGAGAGAGCAAAAGCAGGGGAGGCCAAAGGAAAAAGGGAACAGAGGATCTGAGGCAGGCTCTGTGCTGACAGCCCGATGCAGGGTTCAAACTCACAAACTGTGAGATGATAACCTGAGCTGAAGTCAGACACTGAACCAAATGAACCACCCAGGTGCCCTACACCACATGGTTTTTATCTATTCATCAGTTGATAGACACTTGGGCTCTTCCCATAGATTGGCTACTGTTGCTAAGGCTGCTATAAACATTGGGAAGCATGTACCCCTTTAAATCTGTATTTTTATATCCTTTGGGTAAATACCTAATAGTGCAATTGCTGGATCGCAGGGTGGTTCTATTTTTAGTGTTTTGAGGAAACTCCACTCCGTTCTCCAGAGAGGCTGCACCAGTTTGCATTCCCACCAACAGTGCAAGAGGGGTCCCCTTTCTGAGAATGTGCATTTCTAACAAGCCCCCAGGTAACGCTGATGCTGCTGGTCTTGGTCATCCCTTGAGAACCATTGTTTTAAGGATTAAACTCCACAAACATCAGGTAACCACCTAGCAGGGAGCTGACAGTCCATAAATGTCCACCTGTCATCTCCCCCGATTCCATCCCACACAACCCCTGCACCGACTTTAGAGTTGACACAAGCATTTCCGAGACTGAAGTTATCTCCAAGAGCATGCAGCCAAGTCCTTCCTAAAGACACTTTGTAGCCCATAGTGGGGTGGACCCCCAAAAATGCTTGTCCACATGGAATCTCAGAAAGCGACCTTGTTTGGATACAGGGTCCTTGCCAATGTCGTGTAGGTGAAGATCAAGATGAGACAATAGCAGATTAGAGTAAGTCTCAAATCCAGTGAGAGTGTCCTCAGGAGAGAAGGAGATACACAGAAAGACACACATTGGAGGGGCACCTGGGTGGCTCAGTCAGTTAAGCGTCTGACTCTTGATTTTGGTTCAGGTCACGATCTCAGGATTCATGAGATCAGGCCCCATGTCGGGCTTCATGCTGACAGTGTGGAGCCTGCTTTGAATTCCCTCTCTCACCTTCCTTCCCCTGCTCACACTCCCTTTGTCTCTCAAAATAAATAAACATTTAAAAAAAGACACTCAGTGGGAAGACAGCCATGTGAAGACAGAAGCAAAGACTGGAATGATGCCGCCATAAAGCAAGGAAGGAAACATTTGGCCATCTCTGTGGTCTTTGGAGCCCAGTCAATCAGCAAGAATCAAAGGAAACTGTAGGGTTCTAGCAGGATCAATTGCTAAGGGTCCTTCCAGGAGATTTTAATAAAGAGAAAGGGTCTCAAATTATCCAAGAACTTCCCCATCGTCTACATGATCCCTCTTCTTCACCTTGACCTCCAGCTCAAGATATCCTTCCCTTGGGCTCATTCTGGATGGACATCTTTTGGATCCATTTGTTGGTTTTGCATAAGCTCACCCTTCACATGTGTGGTGTCACACACATGGTCAAGAATCCAAATGACGGCCCACGTACCACATATCTATATACCTAAATGTTAGAAATCAAGCCAAAAAGCAATCAAATGACCTTCACATTTACATGCAAGGCCAGGTTTGACTTTCAAATTCTTGGACTTATTAGTAATGTTTTCTGGAATATGGCAGCCTAGGGAGAACCCGTGTACCTCAGTCCCTTAGCTATTAGCACCCAGCCCACTCCTGCTCTTAATAGCCTAGCTCTGCCCTACACCTCAAAGGGCCTTATACACTTGCACTGAATGGATACCCCAGCCCACATGTCCAAGTTCCATCTATACCATCTACCACCTGTCACCCCTAGATCACCCCACAGGCCTAGGGTACCCACACTGGAAGTATAGTTGGCCCTCGGGAATTGGGCCCAGGGTAGAGATGCACATAGGCCCTGAAAGTAGCCTCCAGCCACCAGGTGAGTGATATCAGGCACAGAGTGGTGTGGCACAGGTGTGGATGGACACAGTTCCTTAGCCCAACCTTGTGGGGCCCCACCCCGAGCAGGACCTGAGAAGGGCCCTTTAA